GATATTTATGATTATCAAAGAAATTTATCCAATGCGCGAATTCTCAGCGCAAGTGATCAATTTCATGTTTTTGTTTATATCTTTGCGCGAAACTCAACGCAAGCAATAAACTGACATTGATAATTATAAAAATAATTGATCCAATGCGCGAAATCTCAGCGCAAGTGATCAATTTTCTAATGTAGATTATTTCTTTTAGATTAACCACAGAATTTATCGTGCCTAAATTCAATCTATACTTGAAGTGTTTGACATAGGAATTGCAATCCATTTTTTGTTTATGTTCATTAGAATTCCTGGTACAATTACATCATGTAAAGACACAAAAGATATTTCACCATTTAGAAAAACTTCAGTTATGTATCTAGTTCCATAAAGATTGTTACCTTCTTCTAAACATGTTCCGATAATTCCGCAAACTGTTCTTTCTCCAATTTGATAGGAAACGAATCCTCTAATTATGAGAAAACCATTTCTTGTGTATACTACAGAATTGCAAATGTCTCTTTGTACATTATCATATATTTGATAATCTACCCTGTGAATTATTGCTTTTTCATAGACATTTACAATAGTTTCCTCCTCTATTGTCTCTCCAGTTATTCTTATTGCATTAATTTCCAGGACAGTAGGTTGTCTTTGGTTTGGTCTTCCCTTACCATTAAAATAATGCCCTGGTTGCGTTCCTTCTGGAATATTTACTGGATTATACTCCAACAATCGCTTTATTTCATTTTTTGTTCTCTCAGAAATATCATTTGAATGAACACACTTTTGGAGAAATTTTTTCATGAAAAAACGGGTTACTATTTGATCTGCTCGACTATTCGCACTAGTAACGTTATCCTTAATTTTCGAGCAGAAACTCTCAAATGGATATGTGGAATATACCCATGATGGTCCCCATTCAACAACTGACTTTGGTGAATGTCCTGCAAAATGTAAGTTATACGACATGTTTTTCAATCCATAGTGTCCCTGTGCTAGAGAACTAAACTGGTCTAAATAAGCACGTGCAACCAATACATCATTTTGTGATATCGATGCATTGCTCAAGATAAATACTGCTCCACTTAATAATGCAAAATGACTGAAATACGGTTCCTTTAATATTCCATCCAAACATGGAAGAGAATAGTACAGTAACCAATTTCGCCATTCAGTTGCTTTCCAGTTATTGTAATCTTTGATAGATCGTGGTCGTCTAGACATTTCTGATGGTACTTTAATTTTTGCAAGCCTTTCGTCAATTAATTTCAAGTTTGCAGGACTTCCAATGTACCATTGTCCTGTTCTATCATCCAGAAATATTTTTGTTAACTGTCTTGCACATCCTAAATGAAAGTTGTGACAATCATCATGAACAACTCCAGAATCTAAATCAAAATCCGGTATTTGTGCTAAAGCAGTGGCTCCTTTTACACCATTAACTACCCTTCGTTCAGTTACTGCAAGAGTTATATCATTGCGGATAGATTCATTTGTACGCAAAACACGAGGTACATCAGGGTATACCATCTTTCTAGTCTCTGGGAGCTGTTCTCCACGTGCATGGCACTTAGTACAACCAAAATATCCATTGTATTGTGTCATTCTTAATACATCTGGTCTTGCAACAGAATCTGCCGTAAGTATTGTTGTTACAAACTTACTGGTGACCTCAACTCCGGCATATGGTTCCCATGTGATACCAGTATTGTGCAAATAAGTTAATTCATTTGCAACTGGCATTAACATATAATTCATGTGCGGTTTTTGGTTTCCTACATAAACTCCGGCTAATATAATATGTTTATGTCTGGCATACGGTGGCAATTCATTAATACGTAAAAGTATCGGACAACATGAAGCTTTTGATGACTTTGCCAAGGCAACTCCGTCTATCCACAAAGTTAAAGACATATTATAAGGTTCCCTTAAAATTCCATTTCTGCGTAACTCTTGATACTTTTCCCCATCAAAAATGTCCTCTATATTATTCGCATTTATTTTAACACGCTCATCTCTATAACGCAAAGTTTCAGCTATATTTGGCAATTTTAAAATTTCCTGCAATTGAGGAATTATTGGTGTTAGAATATAAGTTGCTAAATGTTTGTTTGATGAGTTAGGTCCGCAAGAACCGCAATGACATTCTCTTGTGACTGTCTTACCATCGCCAACTTTATTTCTGCATATCGAACAATATAGTGAATAAATTAGATTGGATGTATCTCGACCCATTGTTTTCCATAGCTGCTTCATTGTAGTTGGTATATGGCAATAAATATAGCTTTGCTTTATCCATACCAATTTATTAATGAGACTTTCATAAGTCTCCCTAGCAGCCACAGTTTGTGCTAATGCAATCAAAAAGTGATCTTTTGCATATATATCGTTTCTTCCTTGAAGAAACATATTCATTCTTTGATCATATTGCAAACCTGCAAAAAGAGGTCCTTGTGCACCTACGGCTATTGGATCTCTTATTTCTCTTTGCTCTTGCAATGGTATATTTCCATCGACATTTTCAATACCATTGACATTTTGAAGATCATTTCTTTCTTCTTGTTCTTCAAGAAGATTTTGATTAAATCCTTCTGCATCAGGTTGCACAGGATCTGCTAGGTTATTTTCTTCGTGAGGAATATGTATTTCTTCTTCCTCATTATTTGACAGATATTCCTCTTCGCTTGGATAATCTATTTCTTCTAAGAAAGAATTATCTTCTTCCATTACATCCATCGCTTATTTAAATCTAAAAATATAGTAGAATTAAAAAGTAGACATTAGAATCTTATTTTAATAAAGTAAAAATATAGAGTTGTTAAAAGTAAATTATATTTACGTTTGCTATTTTTATTTTGTAGGTTTTGACAATCCATTATTTTGTAACGCTATTTTATCTGTACTTTTCTCTTTTAAAAATGTTCCATACAGTGCCGGATATTTAAGGATATCCCTGGGACATTCTCAAGATATCCAGACCGCTAGAAGCAAATGGATTTTCATAGGAAGACCTATGGATATTTTTAAATATCCGGTGCTGTGATAGGTATTGAAAACTACACTGTACCATTAAAAAATTTTGCTTCTAAAGTATTGGGAAAATTTTTTCCTTCAGATGATTGCTTAGATCATTTGGTCACAACTCTTTTGTTTTTGCATGTTGAACGCGGGTTAGAATTCCAGTCCAGTTATAATATAGTGAAAAAATATGTTTTTTAAGGGCAAGTTCAAGTTGTAAACAATAAACAAATATGAAATGTAAACAAACCATGCATATCTCTTTTACAATTCTCATTTGAATAGAAAATAAAAAATTTTTGGTTTTCTTTGTGACATTTTGGTGTTAGTATTCAATTTTAATTTTTAAATGTTTTAATAGTTAAGTAGAAAAGTATTGCATACCACAAAAAAAGTATCACAAATAATAATCATTGTTGATTGCATACAAATTTTATTATTACAATTACAATATTTCAAATTAATTAATATTATACATAATTGTCATTATAAATTGAAATGTCTCATCAAATACGTACATTGTTGAAATCACGCTGTAAGCGAAAAATGTTTATCTTCTTAGTAAATTTTTAATGCCAGCTTTTACTGCTTTTTACAATCATTTATTTTAGCTTAAAATCCATTTATTTTCTACATATAATAATTCAAATACATTTATTATTTATATTACAAGCTTTACTTGCATTTTGCTTCCTCTCCTCACGAGGAAGCTTCGTATTCGTGACGATTTTCGATTTTATAAAATGGGTTATATGGGCTTTATTTTTATCTAGAATGCATATATTTGAAGTTTTAAACAAATGTCCGGATGTATGTGTGTGTATGTATGTATGTCACAAAATCTTGTGTACAAATTATCTCTAATAAAACTTTGTTTAGCTTTGGTGTCATTCAAGTAGCAGCAGCACCGGGGTTGATTTGCATGCAAACTGAGAACGTAACAAACTTTCGGATAGGAGCAATTTCTTCATTGAAAATGCATTTTACTTTTTATTCATGCGAACTAAGATCTCAACATATTTTCGCATGGGAGCAAATTCTTCATTGAAAATCACTTTTACTTTTTACTTATGCGAACTAACATCTCAAAATATTTTCTCATGAGAGCAATCACTTCATTGTAAATGCCTTTTACTTTTAAGAAAGTGCAGCATTGTTAGCTTTCTGCGTCAATTTAATTATTGCTCCTAATTTGTTACTTTCTGTCTGACTCTCTTCTAATATTTTTAAAAGTTTTACTTTTCCAGCATTACAGCACAAATTTTTGTATTGCTTGTTTTATTACTTTCGATTTTATACTGTAAAAACATTGAAAATGACTGTATAGTAGATATTACACATTTTTCTCAGATGAAAAAATATTTTCTGTTTCATTTTACCTGACTAGCTACTGTCTTTTGCAGACTGCATTTGGGATGCTTATAAGGAACTAGTTGCGCCTTAACTCCTAGTTCTTTGTAGAATTACAAAATTTCGAATTAATGAATGTTATTAATAATTGACATCAATTTTTATGTTTAATCAAATACGTACATTACTGAAAGCACGCTCCAAGCACAAAATATCCGTCTCCCTGGTCGATTGCGCAATTGCAGCTTTTATTCTTTTCTAAAATCATTTATTTATGCCTAAAGTCAATTTATTTTTTAAATATAATAATTAAAATAGATTTGTTTTTATCGAACCTTAAACGCATCTTTAGCTGACATTGTATTTTTGGTCATTTTTGGTGGCTCGTTTTCTCCATCTTTTTCTGTTGTCCTGGATGGGAAAGGCTTTCTGCCAATATCACCTCCTTTATGCGATTCTTGAACAAGAGACTCATCATTCGTTGAAGAAGTGGTTTGAGATTCATCATATTTTGAAGCTATCTATAGAATGTTAGATTAAATTTTATTTTTATTACTTACCATTTAAAAGTTGTTAGAATGAATGATAATGAAGGCTTTCTGTTCCTTTATCTTGTCAATGGTGAGATTAAATTCGGCTTATTTTTTTTTTTTTTCTTCTTTGTGATCATTCAAGTATTAAATAAGCATACTTACCTCCTTCTTTTGTTGTTTATTTAAGTCTTGAATAATCCCTTTCTTTGGTGGAAATGCATTTACGCACACCTTTCGGTAGTGTGGGACTCCCCAGTGACCGGTCCTACCCACTAAAACCACCCCATTTCAAAGAAATTGATTCAATGCGCGAAATCTCAACGCAAGTAATCTATTTCATGTTTTCGTTTAAATCTTTGCGCGAAACTCAACGCAAGCCATAAACTGATATTTATTATTATCAAAGAAATTTATCCAATGCGCGAATTCTCAGCGCAAGTGATCAATTTCATGCTTTTGTTTATATCTTTGCGCGAAACTCAACGCAAGCAATAAACTGACATTGATAATTATAAAAATAATTGATCCAATGCGCGAATTCTCAGCGCAAGTGATCAATTTTATATTTTCTATTATATTTTTGCGCGAAACTCCGTACAAAGTTGTATACTTTTTAAGTAATTACTTCGTTTTTGGGGGACGCCGCAAATTTTTTATAGCCTGTAAAATATGTTCTCTTATAAACTTATCGTCATTCAACTTAGTTTCCGATCCATCTTTTATTGTTAATGTATTGTCTTCTTGAAGACTACAAAGAATTCCTAGAAAATATAAAGTATTAATAATTAATTTTTATATTATTAAAAAAATTAAGTATACTATACAAATATTTTATACATACGCTTAATGTTATTGATATCGGTTAGTGTGACAGGTATAAAATCTTCATCGCTAACATTTTGTGGTTTCCTTGATCCAACAAATGGTATTTGTTCAGGTAACCAATATCCTTGCGCAAGAAACGTCACTCGCGACGTCAACGATAGTGCACTTTTGGCTTTAGCCAATTTTTCATTATTTATTTTCACACCGGCAAACATTACCTACGGAATCAAAATCTTTTAATGAGAAAGAAGAAAGAAATTGTCATCCGGGCTATTGACAGCTATGAATGTAGTGCGATATTTTTTATTAAAAACCGTATAGAAATTGCCCTAATATGGCTAAGCCTGTGAGCACTAAGACGTCTTAGGATGTCTTTAGATCGTTCCAAAGTGTCCTAGGACATTGCGTCAATGTTCCAAAAACATAATACAGGCCCTAAACATGTTCTATGTCTGCCACAAAAACTCCTCTAGATTATCTTTGAAATATCATGAAATTACCCCCAGAATGTCCTAAAAATATCACCGAAATATCAAAAAATGTTCTTGATATTATGATGATATTGTTAGTACGTAATATATTAAGTAATAAGTAATATATTACTTGATATTATCTTCTTCCCTAAAATGTTCTCAAATTATCCAAAAATGTTCTAATCATGTCCTTAGTATGTCCCAAATATATATTGCAAATGTACCAAACATGCGAGGAGAGAAAAAAAAGGCTACGATAACCGGAGACCCAAGTAGTAACTGCCTGAGTGACTCAAGTAGTAGCATTAAAGTCAGCACAACTTGGGTCCCAAGTAGTTTTTGCCTGGCAGACACAAGATGTATTAAAAGATTTCTTAAAACTTAGATGGTAAGGTAGGGAGCGCGTAAATTATGCTGGCAAATTCAAGCATTTCCTACCTTATCATCTAAGTTTTAATCATGCTTTTAATAAATATTGTGTTTACCAGGCAAAAACTACTTGGGACCCAAGTTGTGTTGACTTTAATGCTATTACTTGAGTCACTCAGGCAGTTACTACTTGGGTCTCCGGTTATCTCAGCCTTTTTTTTCTCTCCGTGTGTGCTGAAAATGTCTAACTAGAGCCTTTTAATACCCTCAACATATTGATAGAAAAAATGGCCTGATAAGTTGAAAAATCTTTGACAATCTAAATGAGGGGCCGGGAGGAACAACTCGCCAAGCGCTCGGCTGGATGTACGGATAGAAATGCTATCGAAATTTCAGCCACAAATTTATGGTTGAGATTTCTTATTGAATTGGCTATACACTCTATCAAATTGGTAGGTAAGTTAGGTTATATTAGTCATGTGAAGTCTGATTCAGAGATCTTGCTCTTTGGAAGTACTATTCGTTTGGTTGGATTACCCAACTGAATGGCAGTAACAGTTCCATGTTAATTCAGTTATACGATATGACAGAAACAGCAAGAATTATGACAGTAATTACGAAAAATTTCTTTCAGTGTGCTCTAAAGCCAGTCAAACGACCCAAAATGTTGGAAAAATTTAAATTAGAAATTTTGATATTTAAAACGTATTACCCTGTTTGGTATAAAGAGTCGCATCTTTTTTTCATTTCTCCTTTTCAAATCGATTCATTTATAAGTTTTGAAAATATAAGTGTTTCTCCAAAAAGCGGCGACGCGCTAACGAGACGTACTAATGTTGTGTTGTCCTTAAGCTGACCTTAAATGTAAACAAACGTTTTCAACTGCATTTTTCATTTTACGTATCGTTTAAACTTATTTATTAGGAGAAAATATATTATATAAATTACATAAATTACATATATTATATAAATTATACATATTATACATATTATATAAATTATACAAATTATATATACATATATAATTTAAAAAAATAAATAATTCTTTAATTTTATATTATGCTATCGTCTTCTATGTACCGTAATAAGTGTGTATACAAAGTGACAAGTGATTTCATTAACATTTGTTAAAGATACGACGATTTAAGTTAAAAAATTTAATGAAATTCGTGAAAACTTTATTTTTAGTTTTTGGCATTTAATATCCAATGATTTTGTCCTATGAAAAAAAGTCAAAAGAAAAAAAGATGCGCCTTTTTATATCAAACAGGGTAATATATTTTAAATATCATAATTTCGAATTTCAATTTTTCGAACATTTTGGGTCGTTTAACTTGCCTTAGAGCGTCCAGCCGAGCGCTCGGCGAGTTGTTCCTCCCGGCTCCTCAAATAAATAAAATGAAATGATGTATACATAAAAGCCTAACAAACGTGTCATAGAAATATCTAACAAACTTATACTGGGTTGTTTCTATTTACCCGAACTGATCCTAATACATTATTTTCTTAATAATTTTGTATTTTCGTCACAATTAGCTAAAAATCTAATTTTTAAAAATTTATATTTGGGTCTGGAATTTTTTTAAAAATGATCTGGAAAAGTCATAAAATTTTGAAATCAGTGTTCCGTGGCAACCCTGTATATGTAATATCCTCAGAATGTCTAAAAACATGTACCCAGTGGGTAAACAGGAGCCCTCAATTGACCATACTTGGCCCCCATCGAGCCCACAACAAAGCTTCTACACGGGAAAGATTAATAACTTGTGTCTGAATTTTATTAAATCAATCAATTTAAAAGTAACATCTTTTGTAATGTAATAGCCCGGGTAGACAAAAATGTAAGTAGTTAGGATAGTTGAAAATTTTTATAATAATGTACCATTGAGTTTGGATCCCCGAACGCTTCTGCGGCAGCAGCATCAGGATTGTTTTGCCTGTGGAGTAAAGTTTCAACGTTCTCGTTAATAGGAGCAAGTTCTGCCCTGAAAACGCCTCCCATTTGTTGAAGGAGAAGGGTATCCTTCTTGTTCTCCACATATTGCAGGTGTGCTTTTGTTTGAATGTTTTCTGCTGTTAATTTATTACATTTTACTTTTAATTCATTAATTACAGCCTCAGCAGCTTCCAGTCGTATTTTTAACTGTTCATTTTCCACCCTCAAAGCAGAAATTGTTTCATTGCTATCAATTCCAGCAACTTCATCTCTCGGAATTACTCCTACTCCATCGTCTAGTGGAAAGTTTGAGTTGTTATATTGAATATTGCACTGTGAAAAGATTAAAGATGTATTCTGTAGATACTATACATTTTTATCTGTTGAAAAGAAAAATATTTGATATTAATTTACCTGAGTGCTCGTTGCTGTAACTATAGCGTACTTTGGAGGCTTTCTTTCAACAACTTTTACTACAACGCCTGGATTAGCCTACAATTGCAAAATTGCAAATTAATTAATGTTACTAATAATTGACATATTATAAACTGGTATATTTAATCTAATATTTACATTGTTTAAAGCACGTTCTAAGCATATAACGTCTGTTTCCTCAGTAATTTTCGCAATGCCTTCTTTTACTTTTTTCTGAAATCATTTATTTACGGTTAAAGGTAATTTATCTTCTAAATATAATAATTGAAACATATTTATTTTTATCGTACATTAAACTGTTTAGCCGCCTCTTTATCTGCGTCTATAGTAGCTTGTTTAGCTGGCATCGTTTTCTTCACCTTTAATGGTGGGCCGTTTTCTTCTGGAGCTGTTGGTGTCCAGGGTAATAAAGGCTTTCTACCCCTTTGACCTCGTCCATACAATTCATGGTCCAGAGTATCAGCATTCGTTTGAGAAGTAGTTGGAGTTCCTTCATACTCTGAACCCATCTATAGAATGTAATGTCAAATATTAATCTAGAATAATACTACATTTAGAAAATTTGAATTCAGTTTTATAATTTTTAAAAGAATGTCTACAATTTCCATATCCTGCTCTCATTCATTAATTTTAAAGAAAAGTTAAATTAAAAAACTTTTTTTCAATACTTACCATTTAAAAGTTGTTGATAATTTATAATTATTTATTATTTTCTTTTTTATTGTAAATTATTTTTTATTTGTATTTTTCAAACTTATATTGTAAAAAATATACTTAAAAAATGTTGGCAATAAAGTTTACTAATATTGCTTTCATATAACCCACAATCTTGAACTGCGTTAAAATTAACAAAAACTGTATATTAAAGCGATCCTTGTAAGGATCAGGGCTTCCTTAACGCAGCTCAGGGCAGTCTATAAATTACGTACGACTTAGGTGGGTGGAGGTCAAGTATTTCTTACGACCAATTGGGATCCGAAATCTTGTGTAACTACTCAACCCTGAACCCACTTGCGGCAACCATCTTGCTGTTTTGTCTCTTTCTTTACACATATGTTAGACACAGACAAAATAAAAAATGTCTACCGCAAGTGGGTCGACACCAGATGGCGTATCACAGCTCTGCGGTTCCCAATAAAACATGAGAAAAAGGGGGAAAAATTAATACAAAAAAAAAGTCTTACGTAATTTTTGGACGGCCTCCCACCAAGCTACTGTGAGCTCCCAAACAAGCACGTTCATATTCGATGAAATTTAGTGAATGTATAGTAACTTTATAGTAATTTTCCAACAATTTCGATTGTAACTGGAAAGTTAGTAAATATTTACTACTTTTCATTAAAGTGTGAATTGCTAAATAAATCTGAAAACGCGGTCACAGTTCGCCTACCTGCCTGCTGGAAGACTCATGTCATGTCACCTCGTCTGCCCGCAGGCTGTCAAGCAGTAGAGCTGTGACTGTGCCTTAAACGTTATAGGGTGATACCTATGGGGTCACATTGACGCTTAAGAATGTTTGGAAAAATTTCCACACGGGTAATAACAAAGTATGTATGTACACTTGACGACTCATTACTAATACATTATTACATATAGTACATTATATTACAAAAATAGTAATGTGTGACACTTTATTACTGATATATCTTATTGAGTTTTAAACTTCATTACTATATAGGGGAGAGGGCTCCAAGATGGACAGGGCCCCAAGATGGACATTTGATATAAAATTTTCGTATAAGTATATATCGCCTCGGGATTTTTTTTACTGATTTAGTTTGTTCAGATGAAGCTTTTTTTATAAACACGGATCGGAAAGAATTATTTTTCTTCTTGTAATACATATCACGTGGATTTTTTGTTTTAAAAAGTTTTGTAACAGTTTTTATTTCAGTCGGTAAAATTATCTATATTTTTGATTTCGAATGGATGCATAGCGTAATAACCTCATTTATGAGGTTGATGATGATGATGATTCGGTTGACACTGTGTTGGTAAATAATTTTTATTTGCCCCAAAAAAATGGAGTCATTGGTCCTAAGATGGACAGTCTGGTGGCTCTAAGATAGACATCGCACCTTAATTTCTTAATTTTATTTATTTCCAATGTTACAGTTTCTTAATAATGCTCTAAGCCTCATAATTGAAATTTTTTCTTTTTCTAATTTCTTTTAATTAATTATAAAATAACTAATCTCTTATTAAATAAATTATAAATTAAATCAATTGGATTGGATAAATTAAGTAAATTAATTTAATTACATTATTCACGTTAAAATTAATTTTCTTACAATATTATTTAATTTTTAACATTTAAAAAATGTTAGAACTGATAAAAAAAAAAGTTGTTAGTGTTACAAGATAAATGGAAAATAATGTAAGTATTATTATAAAATACACTTTCTTGTGTAGATTTATATATTATCATCAACCTGCAACAAGTTTGATATATATTTCATATCTGCTTTGTAATAAATAAAAAAAATAAAACTGAAATATATATTTTATGAAAAATCATTCCAATTTTTTTTAATGTATTAATTTTAATAATTTTATGATATCATATATATGTTCATATATTAAACTCAATTTCAAAACAATTTTTAACGTGGTTTCAGGTAATTGAGTTATTGTTATTTATTTCTCTTTTTTTGGTTTTCAGGTTTTGTAAATTGATTTTAACAACACTGTTAATGTTATTAATACTCTCTGGTATTTATGTCGCATAATATAGCAGACGATCTCAGACGCGCAGCAGACGACAATTTTAGTGTTTCGACATTTTCACTATAGGTTCGCTAGTATCGCTAATATAACATTTCGAAAGAAAATTGGAAAATCGACTACATGTTTTAAAAGGAAGTGGGGTCTCCTTATACTACTTCGTGGTAAAAACTAAAGTTTTTTTTAGGTAGAGGGGGTACGTGATAGGGGAAAATTAACTTATGGGAAGTTAACTTATGGGAGATTCGACTGTAATTGAAAAACAAATTTGTTATAATTTTTTGATTGGAAAATAAATATTTTTTTCAATTGTTTATCATATACGTGGTGAACTTAACCGACGTTCTAAAGAGCGGTTTTTGGCACACAAGAAATGGCTATTACAAACTTTTTTGCAGAGCTTCATTTCGAAAATACAGCGACAAACTTTGATAAAAATTTGTACATTTGGGAGTTAAAACTTTAAACGCGTTTTTCTCGGAACGATGTTTTTAAAACTGGCGGACAGCATAACTCGGGTTTTATTTATCAAAACAAATACCATTTTCTTCATAATTAAAGATTGCAGGCATTATGTCTAAAACCGATTATCTATTCCTTTTTGGTTTTTATGGTACAACCTAAAAACTGCCAAAAACCCCTTTTTTCAACATTTTTTTAATTTGCTGCCATTTTGTCATTTTTAGGGTTTTGTGGCCCAGGCCCAAAAGCCTTACAGCGAGACTCGGGCGTCCGTCCGTAGTTCTTAAGTCTTATATGTCTTAAGACTTAAGCATAAAATTTAAGCATAAGAATTAAGACATAAGACTTAAGACATAAGACTTAAGACATAAGACTTAAGACATAAGACTTAAGACATAAGACTTAAGACATAAAACTTAAGACATAAGACATAGGACTTAAGACATAAGACTTAAGACATAAGACTTAAGACATACGACTTAAGACATAAGACTTAAGATATAAGACTTAAGACATAAGACTTAAGACATAAGACATAAGACTTAAGACATAAGACTTAAGACATAAGACTTAAGACATAAGACTTAAGACATAAGACTTAAGACATAAGACATAAGACATAAGACTTAAGACTTAAGACATAAGACTTAAGACATAAGACATAAGACTTAAGACATAAGACTTAAGACTTAAGACATAAGACTTAAGACATACGACTTAAGACATAAGACATAAGACTTAAGACTTAAGACATAAGAATTAAGACATAAGACTTAAAACATAAGAATTAAGACATAAGACTTAAGAATAAGTATTAATTCTTGTTTAAGTTTTAAGTCTACTTAAGCAAAAAACTTAGGACTAAATTTTTTTTTAAAATGATCGTAAATTTTCAAGAAGGCCCATTAGAAGCCACGAAACCGTATTATGTAGGCGCTTTGCTCACTCAATCACGTGTCTCAGCTTTAAAACGCTTTTTTTAAATCCGATGACCCTGAGAGGCTGCAGTTTAACCAGAAAGATCCAATAAAATTTGTTTTTTTCTTGAAGAACTATTCGCCCTTAATATTGTACAGAAGGTTTCTTTCCTTTAAATAAATTAATTAACGAGAAAAAAATTTTGTTTTAACTCCTTTTTTACTGCTTTTAAAGTATAATGGTACCTAAATATCGGTTTTAAGAATCGTGTAAAATAAGTTAAACTTTTTCAATTGTTTTTAATCGGGTGCTATCGAGAGAACGATATACGCACATGCGCAAATAGTTAATTATAAGAATAAGAAAAGTGTTGAATCAAACAGAAAAGATGTTTTACTTATAAGTGTTTTGTAATATATAGTTTGTTCTGTTCGTGCGTATGTGTCAAATATTTAAAATCTAAAGTAAAATTTCTAGTGATATGAATAATGTCAATATGTTTACTTATCCTGTATATGAACAAATTAAATATAACAACCTTTGAGTTGTTAATACATAACCTCAAAAAAATAAAAATAAATAAATGGGTTCGTAAAAAAATACATATAAACAGAAATTAAATAAATAATTAGGTACATATAAAAATAAATACTTATAAGAAAAAATTCTATTTCTTACATTTTAAAATAATTTCAGTTTTTAATTTTTTTTTAGAACAAAATTTTTAGTTTTTCTAAACTTTAGGTGTCCAGCAGGTTTTCAAAAAAATTTAACAAAAAAATTATTCAGTATAAATTTTGTTCGAAGTTCACCTAAACTCCTTCCAACAACAAAAAACCATAATTTTTCTATTAAATATTTTTAAAAATTGCAATCAAATTCTTTAAAAAGTTCTATTGTTTTCAAATTTTTCAATTAAATTTTACAAAATTTCAATTATTTAAAAATAATAAGTCAAAATCTTTCAATTCTAACTCTTCTAAAATTGAATTACTTCTATTAAATTCTATAATTATTTTATTTATAGAAAATTTTAACTAATACTTTTTGCAAATTTTATCATAAATTAAAAAAAAAATTTCTTCATTAAAAACTTTGATTGCAACTCTTCGAAATATCAATTTTTTCTAAAAATTTTAAATTAAAATTCTTTACAAACTTATTTAGTGCTAGAAACGAATGTTACATTTGTATAAAGTTTTTCATTCATTAAAATATTTTCAAAATTTTAAATTTAAAATCACCTGAAATTTAATTATTTCTACGAATCTTATAATTATTGTAGATCTTCCAATATTCGATTATTTAAAAAAATTCAATATTGACTGAAATTAAAAAAAAATTCAATAATTCAATTTAAAACAATACTTGATGTATCTGTCAAAAATTATTTTTTAAACATTTT